TCCCCGCCTCTGCCATCCACACCAGGGCCCCGGGGTGGGCTCCCCCCACCTCTGCCGTCCACAAGGGCCCCGGGGTGGCGTCTCGTGCTTTCCCGCTCCTGGTCACCCTGGTGGGGCGTGGGAAGGGCGGCACGTGGGGCCTTCTGTGGCGGCTCTGGGCAGCGTGAGGCGTGACCTCATGGGGACTGGGCCCCGGGCTGCCGTGGGTCCAGCCTGGAGAACAACACCGCTGGAAACAGCCTTGTGACTGTCCCCGTCAGCGGGTCCCTTTGTTTGCGGCTAAATCGGTCCCCGGGAGGCTATATTTAGCAGGGCTGAGGACGGGAGTGAATGAGGTGCCCACGAGAGAGTGAAAACAGACCAGGCGGGCAGAGCCCACCAAGCCCAAGAATGGGCCAGCTTGCTGGGACAATGAGGTGGTGGTGACACAGGGTGACAGCAGCGCGTCGCTGCGGTTACGGGGCGGGAGAAAAGGCTTCTCTGTCCACCCGGCTGGCTGGGGCGGCCTTGGCTCCCTCCCGGCTTGGCGGGGCCGAGGGTGACCACAGTCATGTGAGCGTTTGCAAGCCCGGGCCCAGGGCCAGGCCAGGACTCGGCTCTCTGGGCTTCCGGGCAGCGAGGAAATGCTGTCACCCTGGCCCTGCGCCAGCCTCGTGAGAGTGCTGCTTGTGAGCCCGCGGCTGGCTCAGGGGGTTTCTCCACCTGTGTCCGGGAAAACTCCTACACGTCCTGCAAAGCCCCGTGAAGAAGGCCCTGACCCCAGCACCCACACAGCCAGGCTGCACCAAGGCTTCTCAACCACCTGCAGCCCCTGGCGTCCCCTGTGCGCTGTCGCCCTGTGGCTGCTGGGACAAGTCGCACCGGCGTGGGCCAGCAGGTGGCGTGGAGACATGGCCCTGGACTCCCACGTGGTCAACCGTGGTCTGGGGTCTGGGCCCTGGACCCGGTGGCTTGAAAATCAGGCCGGGTGGACGCGTGTGTGTGCCCAGAACCCGAGAGGGGAGGGACTGCACATGGCCATCTCCCCGGGGATGGCTTCTCACCTCCCTGCTCTCCGTGGGTGCACGCGCCCTGTGCCAAATCTAAAGAAGGAAGAAGCAAACTGATGCGACACACCGCCTCCCAGTCCGGGCCGGTCGGGTGTGGCAGGGCCGCCCTCCCGGGGCTCCCAGGCAGAGCTCAGGTCCCGCCTTTCCCAGCTGTCAGCGCGGGGACTCCCAGTCCCCTCGGACCCTCACGCCCCTCTTAGAAGGACCTAGGACGTGGGTCCGGGCACCCAGGACCGCCTGCCTCCCAGGGCCCTCAGCTTCACCCCGTGCAGGGAGGTGTCCGTGGGGGGCCGCAGGTCCCAGGGATTGGGATGCCTTCAGGGTTCTTGCCCTGCTGACCCCAGGCCACCTCAGGAGCCGAGCCCCTGGCTGCTGCCCTCTGACTGTCCCCAGGGACTGTGGCCACTGTCCCCGAGGGCGCCCAGGGCCCCTGGACAGGCAGGTGCCCACAGCTGCCTAAGGGCCTCTGAGTGGAGTCGGGCGCTCAGACCCTGCCTCCCAGCCTCTGGGCCTTCCCGCGGCCTCTGCCAGGAGCCTCGGTTTCCCCACCTATAAAACAGAGACGGTGAGACTGCCCCCACCCCCGGCCCTGAGAGGATTAAGCAGGCCTTGGGCAAGGTTGGCGGAGGCGCCGAGATGGGGCAGCAGAGGAGCGGGTGGCGGGGAGCTGTAGCGCGGGGCCCTAATCCCCTGGGCACGTGGCCACAGCTGGGCCCACATATCAGTGACACCTGCCGCGGTGGCTCCTAGCCCTGCCATCTGGCTGCTGGGCGATCCCGCACACGTGTGTCCCAGGGGACCAGGACCACACGCAGCCCCGTCGGGGAAACGGGCAGGCTGCACTGTTCACGGAGGCTGCAGAGGGACCGCCCGGTCTCGTGGCTGTCACCGCCAGGGCGTGAGGCTGGGACTCGTGGGACACGTGAGTCACTTGTCTTGGGCGCAGGACTCGCCAGGCCGAGTGAAGCCCCTATGAGGGGATCCGAGGGTGGCCCCGAGGATTCGTGTGCGGCTGGAGGGCTGCCCTCTGCCCCTGCTGGGCCTCCGCCCTGCAGCCTCGCGGCCCATCAAGCCACGTGCCCTCGGGCCCCACGCTGCACCCCCCGGGTCCTGAACCCAGGCGGCGTTCAGAGAGGGTCAGAGAGGAAGAGGTGACACCGGGGGCTGGGGCCACCCTCCCCGCTTGGAGCCAGCCCTCCTCGCCGGAGGGAGCCCCCGGGCGGGCGGGCGCCCGGACCCCTGGGAAGAAACCGGCTTTCTCCCTTGTTATTTTTGTTGTTGCCATTCTTTTTAAGTTCTGCTATAGTGCACACGCGCCTTGATGGGGACAGAGAGAGAAAGCACCGTGGGGGCGTGCTACGGCCCTCCTCCGCTCTCCTCTCAGGGTTCTGGGCATGCACGCACATGTGCCCCGGGAGCTTTTCTTTTTCCCTCTTTTATGAGAGGTTTTTGCGATAGAGCACACGTGCTCACCAGAAAGACAGAGAGAGACAGAGACAGAAAGCGAGAAATCACACCCCGGGGGGATGGCCACGCCGCAATCCCTTCTCCTCCATTCTCCTCTCGGGATCTTGGGCACGCACACACATGGGCCCAGTGTGAGTTTAAGCCACCGGGTCCGGGACGCGAACCACGGTCGACTACGTGGGAGTCCAGCGACATAGCCATCACGCCAAGTGCTGGTCCCGGCCCTATGTGTTTTTCAAGCCGCCATGGCGGTCTAGGACTCGAACCCCCGAGTTGGCCGTGTGGGATCCAGTGCCTTAACCTCCATGCCACCTGCTAGCCCAGAAGCCCATTCTCGACTAAGAAATGCCGCTGGTCCCGTCTCTCCCTGTCAGTGACAGGACACGTGGGGATCGGCACGCTCACCCCCACCGAGGACAGGACCCCGCCTGGGGCCATGCTGTGCGGCCGCTGGACCCGGAGGCCTGGCCGCAGGACGGGAGGCTGCAGTCTGGGCCCTGGGAGCCTTGAAGACGCGGGCACCGTGACCCCGCCAGCCGGGAGGGTGGGGGAGGACTGGCACAGGTCCCGGTCTCTCGGCAGGTAAACAAAACAAACCTTCGAAAAACTCTCTGGGCCAGCAGGAGGGGAGGAGGCCGAGGCGCTGGCTCCCACGCCAGTCCTGGGGCCGGCAGGCTGAGGGTCATGCAGGTGTGTGTGCCCGTGTGCCCAAAACCCTGGAGGGAGAATGAGAAGGGACTGCAGCCCTCTGGGGGCGATTTCCACTCTCCTTTGCGTCTCCCTCGGTCTCTTGGTCTCTCGGTCTCTGCGCAAACGCATGCGCCCTGAGGCAGAAACCTAAAACGGAAAGGAGGAGCCATCTGATCTAAGGGGATGCCGGGGTGCGGGGTGCGGGTGCGGCGGACGAGAACAGGAAGAGCCGCTTCAGCCAGGAAGCAGGGCAGGAAGGGGCCGTGGCCTGAGCCGAGATGAGCAAAACCCAGAGGGGGCAGAGAGGCCCGGGCACCAGGAGCCTGCACCTGGCCGAGACCCGCGGAATCTCTCCGTGGAGACCGGACCTCCAGACACAAGGCACGCTGCAAAGGAGCCAGTCAGA